TACGTCACATTGCATTTGCGAGATGATCAATTATTATGTATCTTATGAAAACTTTTCAAGGTGCTAATTACCATTTTACTTATTATTTTGATGAAGAAGATAAAATTACTTGTTTATTTTTTGTACATTCTAATTGTATTCAACTTACAAAAAGATACCATTTTTCCATTGTCATAGATTTTACATACTAAATAAATAGATTTAAAATGCCAATATTACGTGTAATTGGAATGAAAAATTTTAATACCACATTTACTATTGATATTGCTTTTTTAAAAGAAAAAACAAAGTCCTTCTTTTGTTGGATATTAATCCAACTTTAACAAGTGTATGGAAAAATTCGACCTATTTACATAGGTGTTGATAGGAATTTAGCATTAATAAATTTCATTGAATTGATATTTCTCACTTCAAATATATTACTCTATATTTGGCATACACAAAAAAAATGTGATAGGAAATTGTAAAAATATTTTTTAAACGAAATAGAATTAGTATGGTCTTTATTCCTTGTAAATTAGACCATTATGATTTGTATATATTCTGTAGAGCTTTTTGATTTGAAGTGGACTAATTTTTCCAATAACTACATTTATACTATTGCTCATGTAGCTATTGACTACTTAAAAAAATACTTGGATTTCACAAAAGAAGAGATTTGTTAAAGCTTGGACAAATAATCTATTTCAGCTTGGAAGTATTACTACATCACAAGTAAAGGATCAACATTCAGCATTAAAATCCTACTTAAAAGTCTCTACCAAAGACCTTAGAGAAGTTCAAATTTCTTTCTTCTACTCTTTTGAGAATACAACAAGAGAATTAAAGGCTCAAGAAAATTCAAAACAAATCCATATTATTCATCAACACAATATTGGTTTCTTCACCAATGTTGTAAAATACATATATCTTTATATGCTGTTATTATTGCCCTTAAGTAATATAAACAAGCAAAAGCATAAATTGATGAACACAATTTTTTTTATACAAGGACAATGACAAATATATTTGATTTACCATATAAGTAGATACAAATTTTATTGAGGAGAAAAAATGTTTTGTCCCATTAATTTTCATCATTAATATTACTTAGTAAATATTCTTAACCAATTTATTTCAATAGCACTTACAGTTCCATTCTCTTTTGAAAGTTTACATCCACTTTATGTTGCTCATAGTTAAACTTTTGATGTTTTACTTCTTCACTAGTAAGAAAATCTACATAAGAAATTAATTGAGCTTTCAATAATAACTATATAATTAGAAAATTTGTGAGTGTCTTATCAAAAGGGAAGGCCAGAATGAGCAAGAAATAAAACTAGAAGTAATATGTATATAGAAACATCAATATAACAATCTGTATTACAATTCAAAACTATAGAAGCAAGAGTATAGAAGAGCTTTTGTAGCAACTATATGTTAATGGGACATAACATTTGTACATATTCCTCAAGGACAACTTTTTCCTTGCAATTGTTTATGAATAATTTACAAATAAAATAAAGTTCAACCATATATTAAATACTATTTTGAAAAAATACTAAATATAGTTATTTAAAAAATTATAGATGGTTATTACTTTAAAAAATATTAATTATAAATTTAATTCATACTAAAAAAGTAAAAATAATATATCTAATGACATATCTTGAACCTTTTGATGCTGCTATTAGTTGTGAGTAGTGAAATACAATAGAAATAAAATTTGCTTTTTGTTAAGGTATTTAATGTCATATATACATATATACATATATTCCTATCGAATTAAAAATGAAAAGTTTGATCATCAATGCCAATACTTACTCACAAGACCATATCTAAAAAACAAACTCTAATAATCTTTGCTTCCTCAATGAAAAATATGACTCTAAACTAGCACCCAATCTACCAAGAATAATGAGAATTCAATACTTGATAAAAAAAAAATGATTCATAAATAAAAAGCAAAAATAAAAAAAAATGAATGAAGAAATTTGGAGTTTTTATCTAAACTTTCAACCTTTATAAATATTCAAACTATTCCATAGACAAAACTAAATCAATTATGTAAAATTTAATGATATCACTTCTTGAAATTGTAAAATATTTGACCATATTTCAACTTTTAGACCAAGTTCTTATCAATATAATACTTTGAGAGCTTGCTTAATCTTATTCTCACTATGATTAATCCATTCCATGATTATTACAATAAAATGGACTAATATGTCTGATTGTCCATTACAAAAATCTTATATTTTTATAAATTTTTAAAAATAACCATGTATATGGTAAAGAGAGTGAATTGAAATGATAGCATTTAAGAAAAATTGAATTTCCATATTTCCTAAGTATTTCAAAATAATAAGATAAAAGAAATCAAAACATAGTTGGAATTAGTCAGCATCCTCAATACATCTAAAATAAAAATATTTGAACCACTCATATTGACACAACTTATTCTACATAAAGGTCCTATCAATATAAGAATGCAATTAATTAATGGTTGAAAAATATAAAACCTTAGAAAAATACATAAGTGGAACAATAAAAACTCTTACTTGCAATCTTGAATTTAGGTCAAGTTGCATACTAAGTATGTTAAGTTTGTTAAAAGTAGTATCCACATGCAAATTGGATCTATCTTCTATCCATTTGCTTTTGCCTCTTTCCACAGATATACCTTCCAACATCTCACTCACTTGATTTACTTCACTTTCTCCTATCATTGACTTAACTTATATTGTTGCATCAATACTAAAAAAAAACTCTTATTCATAATCTCATCATTAATAACTTCTTCTTCTCTAGTCAAAATTTCTTCTTCTTTACCATTATCTTCTTCATTCTACCAAAACCAATTACATCAAAGACACTGTACATAAGACTCCTCTTCTTTAATGATTTATTTTACAATACCTACTATTCTGAGCCACTTTTGTGGCTTATTCATTTCATCAATATGATCAATTGCTACAGTTTACATAAAGATGCAAATATCTCTTTCAAATCCTAATGTCTTTGTTGAATTAAGATAAAAATTAAATAATATAAAAATAAAGTTGCCAAAGTCTTAAAAAGCATGCCCAACAAATTGCAAGATACAAAAGTAATCCTAAAAAAACTAACATGAAAGAGCTTAATGGCAAATTCCAATAGGTGCATCTAAGCTAATGTCTTTGGGCCTCTCCATCCACCTAAAGAATCCATTGACTTGGATAATAATCCATCATAAAGACTTCTTACATTGTTTGCCAATTCCTTCCAAATTTTTTGAGTATTATACATATGACAATTGAAGTATACACTCAGAATCAAAAGTCTCATTCTACAAAATATATTAACGAGAGATGATTTTAAAAGATAGACTTTAAAAATAAACATCAAGAATACAAACTAGTCCTTATGAAAAACTTCCAAATAAATTCAAGTTCACAATAATTATAGAGAATGAACAACCTTCATAAATACATTCTATCCATAACTTGATCCTATTGAAGTAAAAAAATACTAGAGACAATTGTATCTACTACAATAAATATAAAACATAATGTAATTAATTTTAGAACTTCAGTCTAATAGGTGGAACATCTTCTAAGTTGAATTCATTGTCACTATCCTTATTACCTTCAATGAAAATATCACCATTATCTTCATTATTGTCCATAGCATCACTACCATTGTCCTCCATTTCAAAGACTTGAACTTCATCCAATGCACCAAAACCAATCATAACATGTCCTTCAAACAACAAAAAGATCTATTCTACTTAAACCAATCAAGGCCCAAATTGGACTTTTGAAGAGCCAAATGTATTGTTTAGACAATAAAGCAATTATCAAAGTTAAGTCAATCAATGAATATGAATCTTAATATATTTTAGATAAAAAAATAAAAAAATAAAAGATGTACAATCTCAACCTCTCAAGTTATTCCAAAAAGATATAAAGGCAAAGTGAGACACTTTATAGAATTTCAATGCAAACCAACTCAAATAATGCAACCAAGTTTTTTTCAAATCACATCTAATAAACACCTATCAACCTAATATTGGATTTACTTCACCAACAAGACTAATTAAATAGGACAATGTACAATCCAATCTATCAAATAAAACAACATCCAAAAATTTGCTTTATCTAATGAATGACTTAATGGAGGCAAAGTGAGGCACTCATAAATCCTAATAAGAATGTAAATAAGGATGAGGAAGTGAAAATTGAGCTTTCATTAATAGATCTAGGCTTAATTAGTAGCGTATAAGCTCTTAGTTAGAGGCACCAACCAAGATTATGATGCAAAACTTGCAACAAGACTAATACAAAATAGGAGTGAAAGGAACAAATGAGAAGAAGGGAAGGCCAACCTCACCTTCCTTCTAAGAAGAGCAGTGTAGTGAAATATGTTTGTAACAAATCCTTCTCTCTTGTTATATTTGTAACAAGTCTCTCTCTTTTAAACAATTACTTGGGATTCTATATTTAAGGTCTACAACAACTATCATTATAGATTGCTACAATGAAGATTAAATTATCATGTTTGCAAACAAATTTATCCTTTTCATTGGTTGCAAATCTAATGGTAGAAAATTTAATGTAGAGATAATTTTATTTTCATGATTGTAATTGAATGGATCACTACAAGAAAATTTTGGATTGCTTTATTACTTGTCTATATACATTTATGTAAGTAAAGAGATAAAGAGATAAGACAATGTTAAGAAATGTTGTAAGGTAGAGGTAGAGATTAGGAGGGCTGATGGATCATAATCTATCAACTGTGGTTCGACTTAGCAGTACTGGGTAGAATTAAGTCAAATATGCTGGAGTAGAACATGGATACAAGCAAGGAGTAGTATGCGTCACACCAGTGCTAGTAGCATTTACGTCAACAACTCGCTAGGAATAGTCTGACAGCAGCAACTGTGAACAATTAATTAGTGTGTATTTGTCCAGGACGGTAATGGATTAGCAACATTATCGGCATTGCATGTTGAATTAGTTAGTATTCACACACGTAGATGCTTACTGCAATGTTGCTAGTCAGCATTTGAATTTTCCATAATTTGTCGTGCTACAGGAAATTAAGGCAATTGGGCTTTGTTCAGGCATTCTGGCTTAAATCCCCACATCACTGGGGACGGATAAGTTTCTTTACAAGCGATGGACTAGTAATCTCACCAAACTGGACACTTTCAACCGTTTTATCTTGAACGAATCCATTATGTTTGGTAGCATTTCACTAACGACATCTTTAGTCTTGGAAGCTGATGGAACGCTTTGTTAGGCTGCACACACGAAAGATTCTCTGTAACAAGGCGGGTGTATGGTATGGTCAATAATCTGAGTGGCATGTGCATCAGTCCACTGATATAGAGTACTACCGAATCTGATGTACTATATTGCATCATAACTCTAAAGCCGTTAGCCAGTCTAATAACTTAATGGGACTGCAAACGACGATGGAAAGCTCGAATTGTCCGTCGTAGTTGTTGGTGCTCGAATGGTAATGGCTTTGCCATATTTTGTAAACTATCAGGATCTCACATCAACAAACTCGGTCATATGTCGACATGGATGTAGTACTGGGAAGACTGCGAGGAAACAAGAACCGAGTGATTTGCAATGCTGTATAGAGCACAAAGGAACACGACGCAAGAAAAGAATTCATGATAATCGACACATTATGATTCAAAGTTGGCACCTCAAAATTGGAAGGAAAAGGCTGGCGACTGCATCATCAGTGGCGATTGCACATTGAGCGAAATGTCCTTCAGAGGTGATGACACGGGAGTGCTTTTCTTCTTGATGATAGCTTCCTTTATTTGCTTTCGAAGCTTGCGCAAGCTCTTCGGGATCTCTGTCACATTGTGCTTACTGCCAGAGTTTTCCTTGTCTGCTTCCTCGTCAGCAAACACCATTGAAGTGTTGGGACTGCTTTGCTGATTAATCTGCTGAACATTAGGGGTGGGGTCATCCATTTCGCAGTCCGACTCGTTTCCCATGTAGGCAAGGGAGGGGCTTTGAGGTGGAGAGCTCACATGAGCGAAAGAAGGACTTCTCACTGGGGATTCACATCCCAGGTGGCTCTTCACTGGCGACGAAACGCCATCGTGACAGTTTGCGACGCTTGCGGAGGGTTCAGGCTCAGGGGCATCAGGCTCGATAACCTCCGCGGTTTTCACGAAACTGGCGTCTACGTAGACCTCAATATTCAGGGAATTGGCTTTAGCCTTACCTCCCTTATTCCTCCCGGCCTTCTTTCTAGTTCCTTTCACTCTCTTCGGCTTCACAATCTCTGATTCCTCCTCCATGTCGACAGAATCTTCGTGGGCAGCTGAACACACCAACGCTGTTAAGATCAACTCCGGCGAGGTGGTTCACAAAACTTGACAGCTCGAAACTTAACAGCTACGGAAACAGAGATAGTACCCAAGCTGAGAGATTTTACCAGAATCGTTATTTCGCTCCACCTCCTCAGCTGCAGGAACAGTAGCCTCAAGCTTCACATCATCAGCTGCGGCAACAAGAGCTTCAAGGTCGCCCTTGAATTCTGTAGATCGTGCTCCTTTCTTAGCCTTCTGGGCTTTTGTGTTACAGGGCTTTGGAATTCCAGCGTCGGGGAGAAGTTCCTTTACTGCAAGGACACCTGAGGTAGGCAGAAACGACCGCTTCAGAGGACAATGACGGAGTTTGTGGCTGAAGGGAAACTCAGCACGACACATGAGTTACCGGGGCGGCAGCATCCGCAGCTACTGAGTTCCAACTCAGTAGCGACAAAAACGGAAAAAGTTCGAGACGTGAGGATTACCATGATGGACATAGTCACTTCCGGTGGGCTGCATTTCAATGGCACCATCAGGGGCGGCAATGTCGGTAGCTGGTAGGGACGCATGCGCTTCTTTCTTCGCATTGCTGCCCTTCTTAATCACGGGTATCATTCCCTCACTCTCCCCTGCTTGTTCTGAGGGCACAGTCAGCAATAGGCCTGAAAACAACAAGGATCTATTGAGTCATGACTAGTATGCAGACTCATGCATCCATGGAAAATTTCACAGAATGTCGTGTAATTGGGCTTAGGTGAGGAAATGTTACCACTGTCTGAATTCCCGCAGCCACTGAACTGCATCACGTCGACAGCTGCTGCTGATGATTCCGACTCAATCAGAGGTGGAGCGGAAGTTGCTGCTTTATTGCCTCTCCCACGTCTCTTAGGTGCCAGCTTGTGTTCTTTGCCACCGTCCGCCGAAGTAGGTACTACAGTGAAATCTGCAATAGAGACACCGACGGCTTCTGTTGTAGAAGAGACGGCTGCAAGGATTTCCTGCTGATCATTAATAGTGGCTTTCTTGGATCTCCCTGTTCTTTTCCCGGTACGTTTACGCACTTCATTTTTCCCTGGACCACCATCTACGGGCGCCTCCTCCAAGGAAAGCTTTTCTATGTATGCAACGAGGTCGTCCTGGGGTTGGACTTCTGGTACCACTTGTTCCTCACATTCAGCACCCGGGAGGCTGCCTTTGATATCTTTCTCTTCGCTAAGGAGAATGTTAGTCAAGCTATCATGAACATCCACATCTCCCTCCATCGGTTCATCCAGGTCACCGTCTGTTCGGGAACGGTCACAACGAACGGCGAAAGCTTCCTCTACTGGAACCTCCTCCAGTGAAACATCGATATTGTCAGAGTTGTCCTCCCTAGATACGCCAATTGCTGCGGAAATAATCGCAGGAATGTCTGAAGCAGTTGCAGCCTTGACTAATGCACTAACGCTCTTGCTCTTCATCGCAAGCTTCTACACATGTTACACAAGCAAGATTCAGACGAATTGAGGAAGAAATGACAGTTCGAACGAATGGTAAGTTGTGGCCGAGTTCCGCATGCTACTCAAGGTTATGGGAAAGCCAAAATGGGAGTTTGTGATGAGCATCGAGCCGACAATAAAAATTGCTTAAAGTCTTAGGACGAGATGAGATTAATAACCTTTGAATCCGCAGAAGGCTCCACAACGTCCAAGTGCTCCGCAGATATTAGGGTAGGGGCAGGGACCACAATGCCTCTTCCTCTGTTCCTACCGGAACTAGACTTCGCGGGTATGCAATCGTCCACAATCAGTGGATCTGCATCCACAACCGCAGCTCTTCTAGAAGATCTATCTCTGGTCTTCTTCGAAGCTACAACATTATCGATGGCATTCTCGACAACTCCTGGATGATAGGGCAAGGGAGAATAGTAAAGCAGTTGTTTAAACACGGAACTTAATTACGGAGTGACTCTACTCAGAAAGAGTATACAATATTCAAGTTAGGTCTGGATTTTATCTTCAAATGCAAAATAATACAGTGCTTGTGAGACAAGGTTACGGAGAGGCTAAATTTAAGATTGTACCAATAGAGAGCATCAGGTGTCCTGAGAGTATACCTTCGTGGACACCTTCTGGGATTGGTTCATCAGCAGGCGCCGCAGGGGCGGCCTCCGCGAGCGTGTCGACATTAGCTGTTTTATCCTCGTCGGCACCCTGAAAAGTATCCAAGCGAAGAAAAATAGCGCTATGAATCAGCAGACTCATCAATGCGCCCAAGCGACTGACGGCAACAACGATGATCCAAATGAAATCAATACTAGTTTCCGCTTACAACCACATCTTCTCGGGGTAGATATCTGCTCACTTGTGTTAAAAGGGGGTTCAATTTCCCGTTGGCTTCTGTAAAAAGGGTACCGCGGTCCTATACACGACGGCGAGATAAACTGAAGAAGAAGAAGATCTCAGACCAGATGGCGAGGGCACAACTTACATTCAGCAGGGCAGCCAGAGCATCCGCCATGAACACATTAGTCTTGTTGGCAGGTATCTTGTACTGCTTACACAGCGCCTGGAGCTCTCGTCTGCTAAGGGCATGATAGTCCATAGATACCAGATGCGGTGTAGACAAACAACTGGGAAACGGACCACGACAAAGGGATTCACGATATAATTCTGTAGCACCAATATGAAATGTCCTTCACTTCCAAGGAATAGAGATTCACACCACAAACACTGTAGCTAAGACAGTAGGAATCGACAACGTACCCAGACAAAGACCACCCAACCTATTCAGATAGAATACCACCTACCTCCAAATAATGTACGAGACACACTCAATGGAAGAACCGAAACGACTAACAAGACCAACACACACACACACACACACACTCAAATACACACACTAATCTCTCACTCAAGGTTCTACAGAGACAGAACTAGGAGCTTCACAAGAGTCACTGAAGATTAGCCTAGAACTACTGACTGACGATGGACTGACCCAGACACAGACACGCATCCGAAGACGACGACACTGAAGAGGAGCTCAGACAGCAACTAAAGTCCGCGGGAGCTCCTCTTCAATTTGAACCACTATGCACCGAACCCAACACCGAACCGAACGTCGAACCTGTCCCGTACCAAACCCTGCTCAGCCATGCCCAAGAGCGTTGCCGAACCAGATTGTTTCAAACCGTCAAGGGCGGGCGCTCTTTCGTAACGGTAACTCAGCGCCGCGGTGGCAGGGGGTTTGCGAGCCATCCAAAGTTTTCATTCGTTGGCCTCTTTCAATCCCAGGTGAAGCCCTTTCCCTTGCTTATATCACGAATGGATAAATATGGATTTGTAATCATATATATATATATATATAATATTTTTATTGAAAATATAAATTTATTTAATTTACTTAAATATTTTATTATATAATTATTAATGATTAAATTTCTACTTAATACTATTTTCTTCCTATTGTTTTAATTGTAAAGTTTTTTATTTTTTAAAGTTATGAATTCTTTTACAAATTAAAGTGTATTCAACTTTTTGAAAACGTTCTTCATATACAAATCAATGTGTATATCCTTGAAATTTGCCAAAATATCAAGAAAATCCTTGTATTCTCGATAATATCAAATCTATCCCTATATTTTTTGATAATTACAAATGTGCCATTCAATATGATAAGTTGTAATCTTTTTATTTTTTTAAATTGCAACTAAGGCCTAAAGTGCATATTGTACAAATTTTGGCATGACACTTTGCGTGATATCTTGAAAACCTCACAAAATAGACACCACTTCTATTGTTGCCAATGTCAGCGCATTCATAAACTATATCAACTAATCATATAAGAATCTACTTTGGATTTATTTTTAGTAATGGTGTCTTGATTAAGGACTCTAGATATTATTGCCACATGAAAGAAGCACAATATGATGTTGGCAGCATCATCAGATGCAACATTCTTAAAATTAAATCCAAGATCAAGTATAGTAGCTATTGGAAGAATTCACTTCATGTTTCTCTCAACCAAAGCAAGCTGCAAGGATCTCAACCTTACTAGTAATAATAACATTTTGATCATCAAGTTATCTTTATGCAAATACAATCTCATAAATACTATCAAGAATTCTTTAGTTATGCCAATAAAAACTAAGTTAGTACTCAAATTTAGTCATTTTCAAAGACTTGCATTCACTTCCTCTTTTAGGACTTTTTGAAAAAAAAAAAATCACTTTAAATAGAGTTTGATATGATATTAAGATTGACAAAGTTAACTAAGCTTCTTCTATCTATGGTAGTGGTACTTAAACAATCCCATTGATATAGAATATTTGATTCATGGTCATCAATTCTAATACTTATGTAAAAAGCATAGTCTAAGTTCTTTTATGTCTTCAAGATTCTTTGGATTGAGACTATTTCAAAGAATAGACTAATCTTACTCATATTTGGCAACTAAAAGAGAATATATCTAAAAAATAAATAAAAAAAAGACTTTGCATTATAAATTAATTTTAGAGGAAAGAAAAGATTTATCAATATTTTTTGGGATATATAAAAACGACTTTACAAAAAAAGAATGTGTCAGGTTGTTGACCATTGAGAGCTTATAATTCTTTAAAAGATAGAAGCTAATGAGGTCATAGGCCACTTTACAAAGAGCTTATGAGCATAGTAAAGAAAGTTTGAATTTTATTTTGAACCACTAAAAGAATCCTTTTATCAATTGCTACACACGATAAAATAAAACAGCTTCTATTTTATGAGGTGCTTAAGATATAGAACAAAGAGTAGTGTCAAAATCTATGCCATATTTATTTTGGGCCCAATTGTAACTATAAAAAAAAAAAGGTTTTAGCTTATTATATTAAACAACAAATTTACAATTATCACAAAAAGAAGGGGTAGATTTGATATTATCAAGAATATACAGGTATTATTAATATTTTGGCAAATTTTAGGAATATTTATGATATTTTTGCACATATATATATATATATATATATATATGTATATTTGCATATATTTTTTAAAAATTAAATAATCTCAAAATAAACATAATCTTATTTAATTCTTTTTTCTATTTAAAATAAAATTTGATACATTTATTATCCTAATTTCAAAATAATATTAATATATAAAAATATTTAATACATTACTCAAATTTTGAAATTTTAAATGTTCATACAATTTAATATTATAATTCAATATTTATGTTTAGTAATTGAAAATATACTCTTAATTAAGTAAACATGTCATGCTTTAATGAATCCTTTGTAAAGCAAGCATGTTCTTTCACTGGTTGAGGGATTATATGAGCTTTGAGTAAAGTTGTTATAAAATAAAATTCTAAATCTTACACAATTAGTGTAGAGTTTTTGTATAAAGTAAAAATATTTAGTAGAAATTCTTCTAAAACAAATCAAAGCCTGTGTTCCCGTCAAGATAATTACAATGTTGTTTACATCTTTACTACGGAAGTTGACACAGGAGCTTCACTCCTACATAAAATTCAATATTTTAAGCCAGGAAAGGAATTATTATATGATTTTTCATTTTTTTCTTATCTAACCATGTGATTTTAAAAGTATATAATTTCAGTACTTCATATTTCCAGAAATATTGAGTTAAATTCATAATCTTTAAAGAAAATATAAATATAAATACATATTATTGAGTTGTAATTTTTTTTGCGATTGACAAAAGACAATTTCTAAAAATAGAATTGTACTTTATCCAGCCATTTTTGAAAAATAATTTCAATAGAAAAGAAAGTGCTTTTAATGATAGGAACTACTTTGTCATGAAGTTTTCACTGATTTATATTATAATTTTATAGTTACTGCATATTAATCAAATTTCTAATAATGACAATACTTATTTTAACGCAATTATGATTTGAATCTGCAACTAAAGTAATATATATATATATATATATATAGATAGATAGAATGAAATTTAAGCTTGCTTTTTAAAATCACTTGTATCCATTAGATTTGTGTATGTGCTGATACGGTAGAACATTAAAATAAACAATGAAAGTCTTTAAAATATTATTTAGTTTAATTTATTGTTTTTTTTCTGTAGTCTTTAATGATGCGGATCATTACAAAATTTTCTTTTTTTTCTTTAAAATATTATGTAATAAAAATAATCTTTTAAAGTTTATAGTATATTATGGGTGCATTCTTATTAAAATTTACTACATTTTTGGTGTTCAATGCCGTAATTTTAAAGTGTTCCTTAAGTTTGAACCAATCTGAATGTCTTGAACAAACTATTTATTTGAACAATGACAAAGTAGTCATTTTTGTATTTAATAAGGTTATAAAATATTATAATAAAATATTTTGGTTTTCTATATTAAACTGAAAAATATGTCACTAGAATAAAAGTTGAAATTCTCAATATATATATTCAGATTAAGGAGAATCCTCATTATTGTTTTTATTATCTGTCATCTTAATGTATAAAACATCTTCTAGGTCAACCTACCATTAATGCAGTTTTAATTTTAACATGCTGTCTTTAAAATAAATTCATACATCTGTAGAAAATACATGGTATTGTAAGGTTAGCAATTGCAAGAGTTTTGCAGCTGTGAAGAAGTTTAAAATCTTTTGCAATTATATACTCTAAAATATTCAATTTACATCCTTTAAAGCATCACACACTGCAAAAACAAAAAGAAGTATGATTACAGTTTTTACACATCATTAAGATTTGAAATTATTTGAAGTACTGTGGTTAACTCACCAGGAGATAAATGCTGTTTTTATATTGTGGAAATCCTTAAATTAACACAAAAATTTAGATAAATTACAAATTTATATTATTTATTGTTAAACTTCAGAATTTGCAGTTTATTGTAATAATTTCTTTTTCTTTTTCATTAAAAAATTGATATTGAACATTAGTAATGATTTGTATATACCAAGTGAGCTGTTCATCAAGTTTATTTTATTTTAGTCATTGTAAAATATCTAATAAATAGATCATATTTTAAATGTATCATAAATATATAAATGTCCTATTGAAGTTTTTAATGATGTTCTTAAATTACATATAAACATATATCATATTAATCTTTTTTGTATATATATATATATATATATATATAAAAACTTAATGAAGATATAAAGTATCATAATTGATTATTAGTTGCTATTAAGTAGGAGTCTTTTAAACTAAATATTATTATCTAAAAATGTTACTACAACTTGTAAATATTTTTAATTTGTATTTTATTCAATATTTTGTTTTGTTTTGTTTTGTTTTGTTTTTTTTTTGTTTTTTTGTTTTTTTTAAAAAATTGAATGCATTTTACAATCTTTGAATAACCCTTCCATTTGTTTATTTGATGCTCTTATTAATGAATTATTATTTTTTTATTTTCATTTTTAATGCTATAAAATAATATTGGTAACTCTTTATTGTAACATCTTGTGTACAAAATATTTGTGACCAATAATGCACTACCATATCCTATCTTTTTGTTACATTTATAACTAATAATAGTAAATATGTGGCTAATTAAATTCTTCCTATATTATTTAGAAAAACTATTAGATTACTTAAGATTTAAAATCTCAATTTTGTAGGCTTATTGTCATGGACATATATGTTTATTCTAATAATTACCTAGATAATATGAATAGATAGAAGTAGATTATAGTAGATAAATTTGATAATATCTTATAGAGAAGCTTCTTTGGAACTTCATAGATATGGCTTTACTTTTACACATATTTATAGTTGATTGATAGGTTAGAAACTTGACTGACAAGTTAACCACATGTTGTACATATCAATAGCTTGTTGTACCAATAAACTATGTTGCGCACATATAAAAAACTTATCTTGTAAATTAAGACACATATCAGAGGTCCTATAGAATGTTGCCACATACTTTATAATTAGATGGTATATATGGAAGGAAGAGTGGAATCTTCTTCACTCTTATCAATACTTTTCTAGTCTTTAGTCTTATTTCAAGATTTTCTAGTCTTCTTATCTTTGGCAATAGCTATTCTAATTTTATATTATATCATAT